ATTTATGATTGTTTTTTTGTTGTAATAATACGTCACTTAATAAAAGCAAAAAAAAAAAATGTTTGCTACGTTTTGTTTGTTTGTTGTTGTTGTTGTTAGGATTCCGGTTTTTGAAATTTCCCGATCGGAATAATTTTTTTATAATTACATTGACGTCATTTCAATTAATTAATGTGATAAAGGATTATTAAAATTGTACCTGGGCGTGGAGGAGGGGGACTCATTGATAAGGTTAAACAGTTTGTTTGTTTGTTTGTTTGTTTAAACGTCTCGACTGGAAACGTCTGGAAAGAAATTTTAATTTTAATAAACCGGAAGTTCAAACTATCTTTTATTATTCGATTTCCGTCTGACGCGAAAAAAAATTTTCTTCCTTTTTCTAATTTCTCGATCCATTCCAGTAAAATTCCAGAGAGAGAGAGAGAGAGAGAGAGAAATTAAATACGTCATAGACTCGACAACATAAATATTTATAACTATTATAACTATTAATGATAATAATAATTATTATTATCCTTCAAAGTGCAATATTTATGGCTAATATTTTATATATTTATTATTAAAAAAAAAAAAATGTTTGTTGTTTGACGTAAATAAAGTCACGTGACTAAACCTTAAATGAGATGGAGAAGAAGAAAATTATTCTCATCAAAAATGATTTTTGATATCCGAAGCGTGTTATCTCTGTGATATCTCTCAGGTAATCTAACGTCATCATCAATTGTCTTCTATGAGTTTCAGCAGAATTTTTAAATGCGTCTAAACTCAGGTAGCAAAAATTCAAACAAAAATCGTTCGCGCCTATGAATATGTTAATCAACTGCAAAAACAACAACATCAACACACGAGGTTTTTTCATCGTTCTAAAAACAACAGCAATTTCAGAAAATTCCATCAAACCTTCCAATCATTTTTAATATCTACTCTCCTATCCAATTTAATTCTTCTAACTAATTCTTTAACCATAAATGGTAAATCACCACTCATTGCTGCTGGTTCGGCAACGTTAAATTCGGCAACAGGATGATGACCCAAACCATCACCTAACGAATAACCGATCAAATTCGGATTGAATTCTTTTAATATGTTCGGTAACGTTAAAAATTCGCGCCAATTACTTTGCCCCCCTAACAAAAAAATTACAAAATTGTATTAATAATAATAACGACAACAATTAAAATAATAATAATAGTTGCAGGTACCTATGTAGGCGGTGGCTCCTCTATTTTCCGTAGCAACTTCAAATATATTTGTCGCGAATACACCATTTCCAGCCGTTAAACTATCACCCAAAGAACCGATGACGTCAATATCTCCAGGTCTTAATTCGTGTACGGATATTGGACGTTTTGGAGATCTTCCGTTTGTTACGTCACACGGAAACGGAACATTTTCGCTTATCAACGGTTGCAATTTCTTTAAAAACGTACAAACACAATTTTCAACAAACAAAATTTTCTTCCTTCACTTTTCTTTTTTTTTCTTTTTCCAAAAAAAAACTCACGTGTTGTCTCGCCGCTCTTAACAATCCAGGTCTTGTTCCGGTTCGTCCGATTTTTTTAAAAACTACATTTCTAACAATTTTATATAAATTTCTTGCCGCTGTCGATTCCTGTCGATTCCACGTCATTGAATAATCAGCGAATAAAGCAAAAAACAAAAAAATTTTTATCGTAATTTTCATTGTATCGAACGAACTCTAAAAACAAACGAACAAATTTCTGTTAAGTTCTCACAGTTAAGGTTGTACCGCTTTGAGTACTAATTAAGGGGGGTGGGGTGAGATGTTACCTCACCTCACCCCATTCCCACCCCACACCCTCCGCCTCCCCCCGCAATCACTTTTACCTGTTAATTGATTTTTAATCGGTGTTGTAAAATGTGTGAAAAAGATAATCGAACGTTGTTTGTTGTTGTTTGTCACCCACCACAAGTTGTTCGACTATCGCAACAACACAATTAATATAAAACATAATAAATTTTTATTTATTTATATATATATATATGGGTACCAATGTCAAGGCGGGACGTGGTGGATGGAAAAACGTGACGAGGAACGACAACGACAACGACAACAACGACAACCTCAAGATTTTTCCTGTTAGACCAAAAAAAAAAAAAAAATTATAAATTCAATGATTGTTTGTTTGTTGTAATAATATCTCACGTACGAAAAGCAACAAAAAAAAAATGTTTGCTACGTTTTGTTTGTTGTTGTTGTTGTTGTTGTTAGGATTCGGGTTTTATAAATTTTCCGATCGGAATAAATAATTTATTTATAAATAATTTCGCATCATTTTAATTAATTAATGTGATAAGAGATAATTAAGGTCGTACCTGGATGAGAAGGAGGGGGACTCGTTGATAAGGCATAACAGTTTGTTTGTTTGTTTAAGCAAATTTTAATAATAATTTAAACGTCTCGACTGGAAACTGTCTCGAAAGAAGTTTTCATTTTAATAAACCGGAAGTTCGAACTATCTTTTCTTATTCAATTTCCGTCCGACACGAAAAAAATAATAAAAACGATCGATCGAAATTGTGTCTTAACTTCCGTTTCCGGTTTTGCGTTGACGCAATGAACTTCACAAACGAAAATAGAATGTGAAAAATGTAATCGTTTTATAAAGAAAAAACTCAAAACGAAGAGAAATAATTTCACTTTTTTTTAATTTCCGTATCCTCCCTTTTTTCCCGCCTTTTTTTAAAAATTTAAATTTTTTAAAAAATGTCTGTCGATTGTAAAAATCAATAAAAATTTATTTGAAAAAAAAAACAAAAATAATAATGGATGTCGTTTTCGTCTGTATATAAAACATAAATTATAAAGTTCGTGTCACGATCTCGTCGTGTCACTATCGTTACCATATAGAATATTAAAAACCGACGGGTTTTCGTTTTCACGGGTTTTTCTTTTTCAAGAAAATTTCTGGACTTTATTCTCGTTGTGGAAAATTTTTATTCGTAATATAAAAACGAGATTTGGAATTCGTTTGAATTCTGGGAAATTTTTTTTTTGTTTTCCAGGTTTTCGTGGAAGAAATAAACAAAAAAAAAAAATTTTTTTAACAATTTTTTTTTAATTAATACCAACAGCAAAAAAAAA